TTGTCCTCCCTTCTATATATATATATACATATATACCTGCACGAAAAAGAGGTTTACAGTTCGATTCTGAATAGAAACGATAACACAGTGTCGTTTTTGAAATTTATAAACGCGTTATTAATAAATATTCGAAAATTGTTATACCGTAATATTGTTTACGGAGGGATCGTGATTCATTAAAACTATCTCTCAATTTTGTAATATAGAAATCCTATGCAATGATAATAAGGATATAACCGCCACAGCATAGTTTGTACAGTGATAAATAAATGAGATAATCACGTCGTAATATTAATATTGAATTTCAATCAATGGGTTAAGATATTTCCATAAAGAAGAGGTATATTGAATATTGAATATTTCAAGAACTGTTTAATAATAATCATTAATTTGTCAATTATTTAAAATTACACGTCACATCATCGATGCTCGTTTCCCTTGATTTTATCGTCCTACTTTTTTTTTTTTTGGCGTGTTTAATTAGCTTTGTGTAATGTAACGTAAAATAAGCGAGATACGATCGAGATCGTTTTTATAATTAGATATTGTATTCGTTTTATAATATATTGCACAGTATGCAAATAGAATGATAAAAATTGATATCGATATTGATCAAGGATATTGTCTTTCTTATAGCTTATTATAGCTGTTTATCAAGTTTTTATTTCACAGTGGAAACAAATCTTTAAAATTTAAATTTCATTTTTTCATATTGATATTCAAAAAAAAAAAATACAACCATAATACATCTACAATTTCACTAAAAAACAATTCTCAACATTTACAAAGTTTTCTGAAGAATAATAAAAATTGACAAAAAATTTCATTTCTTTGTTTTCATATTCCACAAAAAGAAAATTGTATAATCCATTATACCGTATATTAATTTCTCTAAAAAGACACGTTGTCCCAATGTTCACAAATTTTAAGAGACTTTTGTACATATCGAACATCTTAACTAACCCTCTCATTCCTCTTCCACGCTCGATCTCAATTCGAAAGAGCGACATCTTTTTATCGACGAACGATCGCTAAAAAAATATCGTGTTTCGTCGTTGCATCTTAATCCTCGTATCATTAACCGAGGTGACTTATGCCGCACGGGCAGAGAAAACTGATCCAACGCATTGAATACGCTACGATGACCGATAAATGGCTCTCGATTATGATATATACGCGACGAAATAATTCGAGACCACGGTTGGACCGGTTATGAGGCGCGCCGTGACTCATCCTTGATTCGAACCATCGAATAATTGCAGACCCTTATCATCGATGATTCGAAGATAACGCGCAATCAGGCTGGAATTCACGATGCTTTAAATAATGCCGGTGAATCCGTAGATTGTTTCGATCGAATGGCGATCGATTCGAGGATCGTGCAATTTGCCGCGATTGTGATGTTGGCTCGAGTTGACACTTGTATGGTTCTGTAGTGGAAAATTAACAACAATGTTTGCGAAGTTAGAAATTTTGTGTATGGAAAGTTGCTCTGATTCTGAATTATTATACGGATTGCGTAGAGAAATGCGTTACTTCTCATCGTTTCATTTTATTTTCTTCTATAGGCATTCAAATGATCCCAAACTATAAAGATAAAGTGGTTTTATTTTTCTTTTTACTATTTCCATATAGAAAATTCAACATTCGTTTAATTTAAATCAAGCCCTGCTAATAAAAGGGTTTATTTAATGCCCCATCCCTCCATTTTAAACGCTCGAGCATCGGCCAAACTAGTCGAGGCAATCGAAATTCATTTAACTAAATTTTACCTTCTTCATGCGGACCCATAATATACAAATAATCCGGGGATCGTAACATTCACAGAGTGAAAAATATAGAAAAAGGTGTCTACTTTAAAAAGAAACTACAAAATCTCGAAGAAACTCGTAAACTCGTTTTAATTGCCATTCCACTTCTCCATTGGAGGACACCTACCGCCTAAAACTCGTATCCGAACAGCACATCACGACCCTTTAAATTTTTAATACGACCATCAATGTGACCATTCCCTGGATTCGTGATTTTACATTCCTCCGTGAAAGAAATATCGCTCTAAGTAAGAATGAAAAGTTCGTACACACGTTTATTTTATGTGACGTTTCAATTTCGTATATCACGTGTAACGTGATTGTAAAATTGTTCGACAAAACCGATACGAAAGATTTGCTTCGATCGACATGGTGATCGAGATTTGTTTTTAGAATTTAAGGCACGAGCGGATTAAGTATCCACGCTCACGACACCTTTTGCTCCACTGTGTGTAACTTTCGATAAAGCGGCGGATGAGTCAATTAAAGTAATTGCACGAATATGCAACTCGACCCTTTATTGGCCTCTTATCTTGTTATCGTCTTCGTCTTTCGTGATGAGATTTAATGAGTGCTTATTGATAAATAGGTGGGAAAAGAATGTGTGTTGATCAGATTGAATATTTTTTGAATAACGAGAGAAATTGGAAATTTGGAAATTTTTGTTATGTTTCATAAGTAAATTTTCTAATTTTCTAGGATTCCATAATTTCGTTCACAATTTTTTTTTTAAATCTACGTTATATTAAATAATAAAAACTGAAATTCAATTCTTATATTTCTAAATAATTTTTCCATAAATGTCTCTATTTTAATAGACACTACTACGTGTACACCGCAGTAGAATGGGTAATCATTGGTCAGGCGTTATACGTAGTCGATCCATTACGACAAAGTGTCGCTCTCTTACGGTGAAACGAAGAACTTCAATCAAAACGTTACATGATAACAGAAAAAAAATTCATTATCCATAATTATTTTGTTGTTCAAATACAAGATATTGTCAACATCCTGCACCTTGCAACCATATCAAACCAATTACCAAGCCTATTAATCTATTCGACGAAAAGATTAAATCATAGTCTCGATTTATAATTATTATAACTCAACATTTTTGTTTTCTATAAAAAATTTTAACGATCTCTCCAACAATTAATATTTTATATATTCAAAACTCTCTTACATATATTTTAACGATTCTTCGTGGTCATCAAAATAGATTGTAACTGTTCCAACAAAAAGAAGAAAGTAGTTAAACAGTTGATCATCGTGACGATCAAGAAACCCGGTGAAACGTTTGTAGGCTAAAACAAGGAAAGTGAACATCTCTGTTCCAGTAGCATGAACGCAGACATTAATATCAAATTATGTCGCACGTAACAGTGTTACGTAAACGAGATTGAGCATCCCTTAGGACGAGCATTGAACTCTTTTCGCGATTCAATTGTAACGAAAACTTAAATCTCGGTTACCATACGTTTATCATTCCACGAATCTAAATTCCTGAACATTGTCCTTTCGTACTTTCACCGTAACTTGTCGGATGTCTTCGTAACGTACGCATTACGATCACGATCGATCAAGAATCGCTTGGAAAATTTAAATCGTACGACGATTCGAACAGAGTTATTCCTGGTATTTGAAATATTGGACAATCTCTTAGGGAAAAGTATATATTATTTATTTGATTATATTAGAAAGCGATTAATAGAAATTTTTATTGTGAAATTATTTATGCTTTTTATAATTTATTGATATTTATTTTTATTTTTATTTTTGTGTGTATAAATATTCGATTTCTTATTTATGTCTTTATTGATGATAAAATAACTATATTAAATAATTTCTGTATCTTAAAATTTCTAAATCTCACTTAGAGATTAAATAATTATGTAATTAACGATTAATTTTAGTGAAATATATTTTTGCATATTATATAATTCCATGTTATCATTTCTTTGATTGTCACGCTTTGTCGATTCAAATGGCGATAAAAATTCACTATTTTTATACGATTTAAAAACACAAGAATATTGCATTAAGAGGGAGTATCGCTTTAAAAAAGATGTTTCTGAGTGTGAAAGTTATTTCTGCAGAAATTTATTCTCACGAATCGGATACTTGGATTGCAAGATAGCCAAAGGAGTGTATTTCACTCTGTTGAACGTTATAATGCCCTTAATGTTGCCACGATAAATGTCAAGAAATTCTCTTATATGATCGGGAAAGTTCTCGATTAATCAGTCATTTGTGCAATTGCAATAGTAACGCTTCCTCACTTTTTTTATTCTAAAAAAAATATCAAAGCGAAAAAAAAAATTTTTTCGAGAAAGAAACAATTCCGATCTCATTAGACAGAAAAGAATCACAGATATCCAAGAAGTAAACAACTTCCTCCAGACATACAATGTCCTTGTAAAAAATGTCCAGATGATCACCTTGTAAAATCCTGTTTGTGGAAAACTTTAAACGTACGTACGTATTTCATGAAGTACGCTTCTCGCACATACTTACAATCTTCGTTAAAATCTATCGGCAAAATTCAAACTATCATTTGATTCTACTTCATTCATTCGTTCATTCTACTTCATAACACGTGCACGTGTCACATTAATATCTTCATTTTAACAAATACCCAATTTTCACGAATGAAGACGTACTTCCTCGTTAAAAAAATCTCTCAAAGACACTTTTATCATCAACAAATTTCGCACACACCCATTCTCCGACAAATTTTCAACAAATAGAAACTTTCCACGAAACCTAACCTATAAATCTCAACACAACAAAACGCTCAACCACGACAAATATTCTAGATCCTCCAACAAGACTTTTTTACAAAACACAAAAAACGAAACTAACAATTCGAATCGCAATTCACACAAACTTGTTCGATTTCCAAAACGTCGACCCTGACAATTCTCCCTGACGATTTTTCTTCTCGAGAACACTGCAAGGATCTCCATTTTCCTATTGGTATCAAGTTTACGCAACAGGTGGCGCGGACACGCGAAAAAGCCGGAGACAGTGTCACGCTCGACGACGAATGAAAATTGGCGCGGTTAGAAATTTTCAAAGTCGTGGTTGCGCGGTGCTGTGAACCCTGGGTGCTTAGATCGCGGCGAGGTTGAGACGGTGGTCGGGCCCATGGGCGGGCCCCGCCGCCGCTCCCCAAGGGGACCTATATAAGTTGACTCGCGGCCGGTGTAACGCGATCCTATAACACAATCGCGTCTGCCTCATCAGCGACGAGACATGCGTCCTCCAGTGAGTATTCCTCGCTTTCCCTCTTTTTCGCCTTGATTCGGTGCCTTTAACGCGATGTTTGATCGTATTTTTTTTGTCTTTTTGAGGGGAGAGGAAAGGGTCTAATACCAACAGTGCTTTTTGTTGCTTGATAAATTTTAACCGATAAATTTACTTGAAGGTTTGAGTCAGTGTTTCGATTGATTTAATTATTTGGTTTTTGTGTTTTTATGTTAGTGATATATGTGTTTTTTTTTCTGTTTTTTTTTCTTGTGATCTTTAATTTTATCGAGAATTGATAGTTAATTGGTGTATTTTTTTTTAATATGTATGTTTTCTTGTATTAATATATTGTTGTTACTTTTGTTAATTATTATTAGACACTTTTTTAGTTTGATCCTCGTTGCTCGTGATTTACATTTTCACCGATGAGAAGATAGAATATGTAGGTTATCGAGTTTTTTCCCTTTCTAATATTTCGAGATGTTCCAACAACAAATTTTATGTAATTTTTAATTTAAAATTTGTCTTTTATATAAGATATCTCGTAGATTTTTGTATTGAATTTCAATTTTTAATTTTTTTTTTTTAAATTTTTAATTTTTCACTTACAGTGAAAATAAAAGATAATGCTCACAGAGCATTTAAATCACGTAATAAAAATTGTTTTTGGTAATGCAACGAGGTTATTGGAAAGTGTTTCGTCGAATACCAGCAATTTTATGCAAAACTCGTATCGCCAGGTGCTGTCTCTCTTGTCTTGCATTGGCCTTGCGCTCGCCCAGCAATATCCCGTGACCACGCCGGTGCCCATTTTAAAGCAGATAAATAAGTAAGTGCCGTTTCGCTATCACGATACAAGATTTAAACCCGCAGAACAATACAACGTCTCCTTTTTTCGCCTCATTCTCGTATCAACAACTATTTATCTCTTAGCTCAGGCTCGATCGACCAGAAGCGTGAGATCGAAACCTCAAAAATAAATAACGAATAAATAATTTTGTTCTTTTTCAATAATACTTTGATCAAAAAAAAAAAAAAAGTAATGGAAATAAATTATGGATTATAATTTCAAGGGTATATTCACACTTCTATATTCTCATTTCTGCAACTGATATGCAATTGCCACATAAGTATTGCGTTACTCTATTTCCGCACATTTCCTCAACTTTTTCTCTAGCAGTCTGATTGGAAAGGGAGTGACACAAGAGATAACAAAAATCAATGAAACTGGATGCTTGAACGTTACAAAATAATACAATGTTTCATAATAGATTAGGTGTAAGATACATACTATTACGTTTCAACTTTTTAAACAACCGTTTTATATTACATTTCTCCATATCATGATTGATCGTTTGAAAATATAATTTTTACATCGTCAAATTATTAATTAACATCAAATTAATATCAAGATATATTGACAAGTTAATTGTTACATTTCATGATGATCAGACACAACGAAGACGGTAGCTACAGTTACGGATACGAGGCTGCGGATGGCTCTTACAAGATCGAGTCTAAATATCCAACTGGAGAAGTGTTCGGAAAATACGGATTCGTGGACGACACTGGAAATATTCGAGAAGTGGAATATGGCGCTTCGAGGCGAGGATTCGAACCCCAAGGTCCCGGTATAAACGTTCCACCACCAACCTTGACTGGTAACAGTATCGCGAATCCCAACCAACCCGAGGACGACGGCCAATACAGAGAAGATCCGTCCGTTTACTACACGGATCCTCGATTCACGAATGGAGAACGATACGAACCTCGTCGACCTTTGGTCAACAACCAACCGCGACCGATTCCTGCACCGATCTACAATCCACCGAGGTAAGAAATTAATTATCACGAAGATGTTCCAAGATTAATCGTCTCTTTTATACGTGAATTTTCGAATTTCGCGGAAAATTCTTCTCATCAATTAAAATTTTTCTGAGAAAGTCTTTAAAGTCACTGATAGTTTCATTTACATACAGAAAGTTCTCATCATTATGAATTAAAGATTCTCCTAAAACTAGCCAACCAATTGCTCACCCCTAAATTAAATTCTAAGAAACATATATATTTACATGTAGTATACTCAGAAAATAATAATATTATATATTCAGAAAATCATTCTCACTAGTAGATTAAAATTTTTCGAAAGACCAACATCTTGAAACATCTTTTAAAATCGACGAAGAATTTTCTCAGAGCTTGGGTACACGTTATCCGCTCGTTCAAATGTCACGCGAATCTCAGCTCGCTCGAAACGTGACTTGCACAACTGGCATCACGCTTAACCCCTTGGACGGTTAAACAGTGGAATTAACCGACGAAATTTCGTCGTTTCGGCTCGCAGGTATCCCACGCAAGTGCAGTACCAGCCGAAGGCCCAGTATCAACCGCAGTATCAACCGCAGTACCGATCGCAGTATCAACCGCAATATCAGGAGCAGCAACAGCGAGCCGCGTATCCCGCAGCGCCGATCCAAAGCGGAATTCAAGGTCGTCCAGCGCCCAACGTAGATCCAAACGCCGGGTTAGCCTCTTACACGGTTAATTACAGACGATAGGGATCGATCGGGTTAACCTACGTGTAAATATTGCGTTATTTATATACCGATTTCCGGGACGAGTTGCACTGATCGAGAGTTTAGGGCCAGTTTGTCTTTTTCTCGAATATCTCTGATTCGCATTTACATTGTGTACGTACATTTGTACTTTCGAATATCGAAGGCCCTGTTCTTCCGTTTTTATTATTATATGATGAGTAAATTGTTATTTCTCGTTTTTTGATTTTGAGGGCGTTAACGTTTGAGCAAAGATGATTTTTGTGGCGATAAATTATAATGTTGTATCGATTCACAAAGTTATATTGTAACGTAATTTCCTTATAATTTGATATTAAGTTTCGTGCATTTATGAAAAATGTTAAGAGTTCTTTCTTATAGTTTGAGCACGAATATTCGACAATAATTTAGGGAACGAATAGTATCTTCTCGACGAATACTTTGTCATTTGATTATTCTTACACAATTCTTCCTATTTCTCAAATTTCGAATATTAAGCAGTACTCCAACGTAGCATGTTCATTTCCTTCACAGTAGTTCCTTTAAAAAAAATTTCTTCTACCTCTTTCTTACTTTTCTACCTCTTTTATATACATATATATATCTATTCTTTTTATTTGCACTTCGTGTAGTTATCTCTTACTCACGTTTATGATTTTCTTCTAAATGTTACGTCTCGATGTTATTCTTTTATCGATATCCTATTAACTCTCTCGAGACATCTAAAGAGACATTTCTCAAATCATCGTGATAAAATATATATATATAAAATTTCTAAATCGTTTCAAATTTGACTGTACGACAATAATCCTACCATATCTACTATTACGTGAAATGTGATTCGAAAGCAATCAGCCTCGAAAGTATCGAAAACGATTGGCGCAATATCGAGAAAACAAAGGAATGTCGATCCCCCGAACAACTTCCGCCCCACCTTCGGGGTGAACAATTGACCAGCAATGCGAGATGGAATCTCGTCCACCGGATTCCTGCCCATAGCTGATCGCCTCGTGGAATTACGAATGCAGCCATGGGTGAACTTGACACGTTGGCAAAAAATCCTTTCGCATAACTGCGCATGCCGGCCTTCGGATGGCATCGATCGAGCGACGCGAGTAAACGACCCTCCATCGACCCGGCGTAGGCGATCGATCCACCTTCGCGCGATTATCCTTCCTCCGCCGAGATTCCTTCGCAACAAATTTCCATTCCAATCTTCCTTCCTTTTCTATATAATTCATTATCGATTATCGTCGAATGTCGTTGCGCAGTTAGATGCATAATTGATTGCACCGGGATCAAATCAATGATAGGATAATGATGGCACGAGTGCGGATGTTTATGATTGGACAGCGTTAAGCGGAGGATGGAAGAAGACGCATATTACGCATTATGTTTGCTAATAGAACTTTTATGTATCGTGTTTATCGTTTCACGATAATTTGTATTGTAATAAAAGGAATCTTTTTGCGAACGTGACGTTTTTTGCTGTTTGGGCGGAACTATAAAAATATACTGCCATTTCACATTTGTTAAATGTGATAATAATAGGTGTAAAATTCTTCCTTGAATATTATGGTAAATCGGTACACGTAACATCGTAAATCGTTGTCACTGGAACTAATGAAAACTAATGAAAAGGAAATGTTCGTCGCAAAAATTTATAATTGAAATTTACGTTTTTTTTTTTTACGTTAAAAAAATTTCTTCTCCTACTTCGAACGGTTACTTTCTTCCAGGATATGTATATGTCGATAAAAAAAATTCCCAATTAAACGAAGACAACTTTTCGTACGTGATTCGTTCGTCGATTATTTCGAGAAAAAAAAACTAAAAGCACTGAACCTGTTTCGGTAACAACGCCGGTTATTCCAAAACGATCGACCTTGCACCAAAGCCGCCGAACGGCGAAAAGATAGGTTGCGCGGCAAGAAAGTCTTTCGTACGTCGCAAGGCGACGCCACGCCACGCCCAGGAATTTCATCCACGCTTCTCGAACATTGGACACATCGTGTAATTATCCGGAGCACCTGTAGGTGAGCCTTTACGTTCCACGCCCGATTTTTATTCCGTCCACTGTTCAACAGTGAACGAGGACAACCATACTCCCGACATATTGTCGTTGGAACGCATTTCGAACGCGTGAATCGTGAATTCGAGACGTGGACGAAGAACAGAATGGAAAGAAACAGAAGAATAACTTTTTCGAATTCTGATCTGAAGTTTTTCACATTGTGTGAGTGATATTAAACGATATTTTTAAATATAAATTATAGCAACTATTGGTATGTTAATATATTCGTGAGAAAGCTTTGAAAGGATCTATCTTCGTGTCGCTTTATCTAATGGAAATTGTTTATAAATAAACTTTGATTGGCAATTTTTATTTGCTCGATCTCTAGAAATATTCCACGAATATATCAATGCATGTGCAATATTCACGGATAGATATTCAAATTTATATATTATTTTTCCAATCTTGTTTAATAAAATCTATAAAACAGTGGAAAAAATTTTATTTTTGTGTTTATATGAAAACTCACTTGTTTTTTCACAATGAAGTATACAATGTAGATCGTAATTCTAGGAGTTAATTTTCAATACTTCTTTTTCAAAATTTTTAGAGCAAATCCATTCATTATCTTCCGGTCTGAAACTTAACATTTACTTTCCACCACTTCCGGCAGAGAAGACGTTCGATAAATGGAATAATTTTCGAGCATTTTCCATCGAGAACCGCAATTTCACCACCCTCGGAAGTCGAGCTCGTCGTTGAATTATCGTATCGCTGCTTCAATCGATTGTCGCTTCTACAATCGATCTATAATCGCGGACTACGCGATCGTTACGCGATCGTTATGAAATTATAAAGACCATAACTGTCCAACTTTCTTTTCCTTTTCCTCGCCTCGTCGAATACCTTGAAACTTTCTTTCCAACATTTAAATTCTAAAGAATTGTCCTCTTAATTAGTTTCGAAAAATTCGCGTGGCGAGATCTAATCTCGAAATATAAAATATAAAATATTGCCTAGAGATGAAAGGCGTAATTAATTCCAAATCGACCGATTCCCACTCGATAAAACAAACTATCGAACGAGCATCGAGCATAAAAATAAAAATAAATGAATATCGTTAATAAAAAAAAAAAAATTGAATAAAACTTGCGTGTTAAATTGCATAAAACAAACTATGCAAACAGCGATTTAAAAATGTGAAAATTTTTCCATAAAAAGAAACCATTATATAAAAAGAGACATATCGTTCATTTCGAAAAAGAATCCTCTTCAGAGTCGCTTACTGTCGCTTCAATAGTTATCCAACATTTACTTCCTTTACCGATAATATCCACACGACGGTATGAAATATATCCATCAACTTGGATCAGCCTTAACGAAGGGAAAAACGCGCAAAAGACAACGGCGTCCAATACGAGTCCCGTGAAGAGTGCATGGCGTCACAGTGGTCTGACAATGGAAATTACTGAATCGTGTGGGTAGGTAGAACAGGAACCATTGAACCGGCATCAATTTATTCCCGATCCTGAACTGTCCCTTGCGGACTTGCACGTTACGCATACCGTGGAGAGACCGCCACGGACCACCGCCCATGCCCACCTTTCACAAACACACGTGCCTTCGGGCTTCTCTCCGATCTAACCGATCTACTTGCCAATCGTCCCTGCCAGTGTATCCCGATGCCTTTTACGTCCGTTCTATCTCCACTGTGTTCTCTCTCCATTCTTTGTTTATTCGAATTCGAATACCCACCCACTGCCAACAAATTTTTACATACATTATGGTTCACGTGTGGTGAGCAGGTAAATATCGGTTCGGTTTCGTGCCGATCCCTCTTATCGGGGATCTGTGATAGAGCTGGTCGTTGGATATATATTTTTCTCGAGGATTTGAAACGTGAGATAGTTGAAGTATTTTAGGTTCAGCATTTCCAAGCGAAATTTCTCTAAAATTGTATTGAAAATTTCTTTTTTCGAGTAATGCCAGTCGGGTGTGCGTTGCGCAAAGTGAAATGGAAAGCGAGTTAATCTCGTTCTCGTGTTACAGTTTCTTTAATTGGGCAGGTTATCGTGAATTCTTGATGGAGTGTCCGGTTTATTTATTATTTAACGAAGAATCGTATTTTGGATTTTTGATCCGCTTTTTTTTTTTTTTTGATTTTTCTTCTTGTTCGCTCGCTCGAAGAAGAATTTTTCTTTGCGCGATTTTCGAAAAGTTCTCCGATTTATTTTGTTCATTGGCGGGGAATATGAAATTGTGGTAAAAGAAAAAAGGAAAAAGTTGGAAGAATTTAATGTCAAGAAATGTGCATCGGAACTTTCTATTCCTCGAATCGAATGCCTTTGTAACGCCCGATATTACCTCTTGAAATTCAATAAATCATTTTCTAACTATCGAGACAACTTTTCTTAGTACCTTGCCGAGATATATAACTTACGTAACACGGCGATAAGAAATTCCTCGACGAAAAAGAGACATACTTTTCACCGTTGCCACAACTTTGGCGCAACTTTATCTATAAATACATCTCGATCTATCGAGCACGACATTAGACGTGATCGAGAGAGAGAGAGAGAAAAAGTAGAAAGGAAAAAGAACGGAAAAGGAACAAAAGATTGACTGAAATTCAGACGAAAGATAAAGGCAGCACGAGCGACTTATTTCCTGCACGACAGTGCGTGTTTCATCGATATGCTCGTACGCAATTTCGCGATTCCGCGTTCTCTCTCTCGAGCCATTGTGATGCAAGGCGTGGTGCCACACTCTGTCGAGCCAGATATCGCTACAACTTGCTTTCCTTTATTCGCGCGCACACGCGCCGTCCTCTCGATATCTAATTCAAATTATTTCTAAAAGTTCGAGAAGAAGGCAAGCTTCCTTCCGATGTATAATTGTTTTGAAAAAAAAAAACATGAAATTTAATCTACCATAATTTTTTTCACTTGATAAAAGTCCAGCGTGATAAATTTTCCGTGACGAATTTTGAAAGAAAGTTTGATCCTCGAAAAGCTAATGGCTCGAACTTTCTATAATATTAATCCTATGTTTCATAGCGGCTGTATATGCGCAAAGAACATCATTTTTAGTGAAAATAATTTTTTCCATTTTTTTTCTTTGATTCTACTATAAATATTATGAATATACGACCGATTGTTTCTTATCTATTTATCAAAAATCAAACCAACGAATTATCCACCACAGCAGCAGATCCATTTTCAATCGAATGCGTTAACTCAAAAAAGCAAAAATTGAGGGAAAAAGGAAGAAAACGCATCCTGAAACGGAGCTGAAGAATATAATTATCGTCCCAAGGATCTTTAGATCATTTACGTTGTTACGAAAAAGAAAAAGAAAAAACGGGGTGATACGAAAACTATTCTCACGTGAATCCACGCACGGACCGGATAGATTACCCGTCACGACATGAGAAACGTCCATGAAA